CGGCTGCTCTAGTCTGCGCCGCATTGGCGCGCTGGGCCGAGGGGGCCGTGTGTGCGCTCCGTCTGCGCTGGCGCCGGGCCGCACATGGCGGAGGTGCGGGCTGGAGAGCGCCAGGCGGGATCCCGCCTCTTAGCAGGAGCGCAGGGGCCGTGCTGACCTTGTCCTGCGGGAGCAAAGAAGGGCAGCGCTGCCCCATGGTCTGGAAAGGTTTAACCCCCCATCCCCTTTTTTATCCTTTGAGCTCTTTTTTCCATCTCAAGATCCCAGTTTAAATATCCTCTCAGCCCTCCCTGCCAGGAGCCGCTGCTGCCGTCTGTGCGCCATGCAGTGGCATCTTAGTTATATGCATTGCTGCAGCTGGGGGATTGGGCTGAACAGGGCTGGGCGGGGGAGCCTGGGAGAGGTGCGTCGAGTCACTGTTTCACTGGCTGGGTATGCATGGCGGAGCCTGCCGCTAGGCATGGGCTGCTTTTTACAAGTCAAATAAAATCAATCTTTTAAAAGGGTTGTCATCAGTTTGTTGTCTTATTTAACAAAAAGTAAAGGGCAGTGACTTTGCGGATGAAAAGCATTTTAAGACTTCACTGAAAAGATCTTGTTTTGTACTCCTGTGAAATAATTGGGGGGGGGTCCACCTGTGTGTATGCCTGTGTCCCTTTTTCCAGGCAACAGATTCCTCTAAGAACAAAAATATCGTTAAAATGGAAGATAAAAGATGACAGTTAAAATTTAGTGCATACAAACAGTGTTTGCCTACCAGCTCTCAAAAACAAGGTCATTCACCGGGAAAACTGGAGCAACAGACAGTGCAGGTGGCTTTCTCCATGTAGCCTAGTCACTGTCTTCTTTGTTTAATTTGGGAGTCACCATCCCTCTAAGGTTATGTTCGTTCAGTTCTTTGCAGTGACTGTCAACATCACTACTTGTAATGATGTCTGGACAGCCACTGGAGACTGAACTGAGACCAAGCATATTTAATTTAAAGAACCAAATAACTATCCACCGCTCTCGGTTACCTTTTTCTATCTGAGTTAAAGGGTCTGCCTCTCTAATCTCCCTTCTTTCATTCCTGATGTGCTTTTTTTCCCCAACTTCCTAGGCTCACCTGACATCTCAGCTGTGCATGTGTTTATAAAGTGTCCAGACCAGACAGTGTTGCCATAATAGACACAATTTAAATGTATTTCACTGTGGTTCAGATTAAAGTGGGAAGGGGCTTTTGAGCAGGTACAGGGGGAATGTCTGCTATTGAAACTTTTAGAATTTGCATCTGGGTACATAGAATCCTTCCTTTTTCTGCAGTTCTGATGTTTTCTCCTCTGTTATAATGGAAGCATTTTATTTAGCTGCCATGTGTCACCACACTTCTCTGGAGTTGGGGAAAGAGAACTTCTGTAAGGAGGATATGGATGGTGGGGGGGGACAAGAGTGCACTGCCCTGTAGGGGGATAAGGCCTCCAGAAGAGAGGTGAACTAGATGCTAAAGCAATGTTAGTTTCTTTTTCTTGAAAATACTTTTAAAGGCAGTTCTCCAGTCTTGAAAACCTATGAGGTACATAGGTAAAAATCATATTTCACAGACTCTCAAATATTTTTAACATGGGTTTTTGTTGTCCATTAAGCCACCTAATCATGTGTCTATAGAAAGATGGTTCAAAGGGCCTGTCTCCACACATGCACCATGACTGAATTACACAGTATTTCCAAATACTGTTATCTTGCATTTTTCCAAATATTGTTATCTTGCATTTTTAAAATGTAGTAGTGTTTTGCAGCTTAGAATTAACTTTTGTCTGATAAGAAAAGGACTATTACATTCTATTAGAAAAGTTCACACATTTTGGTTATTTTTTTAGAGTTCAACAATAGCTTCCAGAAAATAATTGTAAGGGCAAAAAAGGCTTTTGTCCTAATGCAATAAATATTTTAGGTGAATACCATGAACATTTTATATAAATCAGTTTGGACCTTCCATCTCCCAAATCGTAAATAGGTTTCATTCTGCTCGTTATTCTTTAACTTTTTGTTTGATGTATGTGCCAGTTGCTTTGGTATAGTGAACTAATTTCACTTTCTGAAGTGAACTCTTGGCTGAAACTGCTGAGGTCTGTTTAGTTCTTTCTAGTTTTGAATAGGCATGTATAAAATTAGATACCAAGTATATATAGTATCAAGGCCCATGATACTTTCATGACTGAAATGACTCTTCTTGTAATAAGTTAATTCAAAAGGTCAGCAGTTAAGTTGAGGTATAACATTCAAGGTGCTAGGTATTCTGCCAAAATAGCTGCTAAAATTCCAGGTATATCTACAGCCTCTTTCTTTTTTGTTCATGGAAAAATATAGTGAAAAATTATATATAGATATAGACGTATATCTTAGCTGCCACTGCAAGGCTGGAATTTGCCTTCATCTCTTTTGCTGTGACCTAAGTCATTTCTGATGCAACTGTGATCAGAAATCTAATGCTAGGAGATTGTTTTAGTAGTCTATCTTAAGTTTGCTTTGAAAAAAAACCCCCCCTCCCATTACTCTTCTGTCTACAGCCACAAACATGTTTATTTCTATTGGTGGGAATTTCTCTGCTGCTTGACTCCTCCCAGGACCGGGAGAAGTGAGCAGTGGCTGTTCCCTGCCACTTCCCCAGACTGGGGATACCCTAATCTTGGAAGGTGTGTTGATATGCCTTTCAACTCCTTTGTGTCCTGGGAGGTGTCAGGTATACATTCTTCCTGAAGAAGCTGTCTAGAGCAACTTCTCCCTGGTTGGAAATGGGTTATTTTTCTCCTATAACAGCCATTTTTGTTCCAGGAGCAACTGTGTGAATGCTTGTATGCTTGTGGTTTAAACTGGGAAAGCTGCGATGCTCTCAGTAGAAACATAATGCCTGTTCATGGCCTAAATCTTTTCAGGAAGTTTCCTATAGGAAGTTTCCCCCCTTAGCCCGGCAAGTCTGCTGCTTCCCGGGGGCCCGCATCCGGGACATTACAGAGAGGATCCCAAAGCTCCTTAAACCCACAGACCACTATCCCATGCTCCTTATTCATGTGGGCACCAATGACACTGCTCGGAGCACTCCCAGCCAGGTCATGAGGCGCTACAGGGATTTGGGAGCGGGGCTTAAGGGTCTGGGGGCACAGGTAGTGTTCTCGTCGATCCTCCCAGTATCAGGCTATGGGCTGAGAAGGGACAGGAGGATCTATGTGGTCAACCAAAGACTGCAGCGCTGGTGTCGTCAGGAAGGCTTTGGCTTTCATGACCACAGCCCGCTCTTTGGCGAGAGAGGCAGCGAGCTGCTGGGAAGAGATGGCCTCCACCTCTCTCCCCTAGGGAGGAGGCTCTTCTCAGCCAGACTGGCTGACCTGCTCCACCAGGCTTTAAATCCTTGCAAAGCCAGCGGATCACGGCGCTTCAGGGAGCCCACCCCTGCCCCAGCCCTGGTAAAATCTGTGGGCAAGGAAGGAGCCCCCCAGGGGGCACTTGCCTGCCTGTACACTGATGCCAGGAGCTTGGGGAATAAGCAGGAGGAGCTCATCCTCCTGCTCAATGCAAACAATTACGATGTCATAGGGATAACGGAGACCTGGTGGGACTCCACCCATGACTGGACCACGGGGATAGATGACTATACCCTGTACAGGAGGGATCGTGTAGAGAAAAGGGGCGGGGGGGGTAGCTCTCTATGTTAAGGAAAGCTACACGTCCCTGCAAGC